TTCACGAGGAGGCGATGCCTCGCATAAATCACGCACCCAAACAGCCGGCCTCGGATATCTGTCCATTTATGCCGTCGCTGGACATTGTCCAAGAGCGAAGGAGAAGAACAGAGAGAGGGAGAACGAGAGAAAAGGGACCGCCCGAGGAGAGCGAGCACCTGCCGCGAGGCGCGGTATCCGCGATATCCACGATATTCAAGGTTCTTCGAGATAATGGTACGCGATCCTGGAAAATGTCCCGAACAAAACTTGTAGAACACATTCCGACTGACGATTCTTGTTCGGACGGTTTTCTCGAATCTCGAGGCGTTCGTCCGGAATCCGCGCGGCAAGGTGACAGTGGAGGTAAGACCGTCGGAATTTCTGGATTTTTCTCGACAACGGTAAACGATCGCGAAAAACGTGTCCAACAAAACATGCTCAATCCATCTTAACTAACAACTTTTATTCCCAGCAGTTTCCCTGTAACTTGCTCGGTTCTTCGGGAAAATGTGCGAGAAGCTGGCGTCGCCGAGAAAATCGGTCAAAATTCCGAGAGCCGGCATATTGGAAGGGAATAAAGTTGAGTCCTTCTAGAGACAGGACAAAATCCCAAACTTGTATAATTCGAAGGAGTCCACTTCGGCCAGGCCTCGACGATGACTCGACTCAGGTCGGAATGACTCATTTACAAAGGGGCAGGTACAGTGGTATCTACAAAGCGAGTCCCGAGGGATAATCGACCGATTGGGCCCGAATACCTCTGAGCTCCTGGAAACCGCAAATTCGAGGCCTCCTTTATCCCTCGAAACTCCTGACTCAGGATTAAGAATGGCCTTCGAGAGTTCGACTAGCTCCGATTACCCGGAAACGATAATTAATCGGCGCTCGCCATTTCCGCGATCGATCAAAGATCGATCGCCATTCCGGACGGAGGTATAAAAGGAAACGACGTTTTAAAAATTCCCCACTTCCCTCGGGTCATTTTTCAACGTAATTAGAATTTTCTCCAACCATTTCCTTAATACCCTTGGCAATGAAAATGAAACCGAGAGGGTCAAGGAAATTATCCTTTCCCTCTCTATTAATATTTCTAGGGAATAAAAATAAGAGCAAAGAGAGGCATAAAAGTAAACCACGTTTAAAAAATTCTCCGCTTCTGACATACGAAATTAATCAAAAAGAAAAAAAAAATCCCGTACATACAAACATGTATTTCAATACACCCCGCAAAATCTGTCCCAGGAAATTTTCTTTAGAAATTGTTGAAATTTCTCTTCGAGGCGTCTTTACTTTTCTTTTTTCTTCTTTTTATTCCTAACGGGCTATTCGACATCTCCGAGGAATTTACGATCCTGAAGACGGATGAATCGCGATCCCCGGGGCCCTGAGAAGGGCCCCGATATAAAATGAACGGTTAGACACGGAAGAGAGAGAATAAAGAAATAAAAGAAAAGAAAAAAAAGAAAAAAAAAAGAGTGTGAGGTGTCCCGGGCGTTCCCGAAATTCCTTTGGCATTACAGGACAACCCACGTGACTCAGGGCGATCGGAATCCCCTTTAACCCCTTCCTCGACCCGATTCCCAGGACGAACCCGTTGATCCCGCAGGATACATGTATATTAAACGCCAATTTGACGGGTTCTCTTTTTTTTTCTTTTTTTTTAACACGAAACATCTATATGGGAATATGGCGACGGTAAAAAAGAGGCAGAGAGAGAGAGAGAAGGAATAGCCAATCCCGCCGGTCTCTTTCCTCTTCCCTGGCATCGGAATATCAAGGGAATCGAGTTTGCGAATTCCCTGCGTCCTCCTCTCCGAGATGACATTAATCTCGCGGTTCCATTCCGTTGGAGCCGGCCCAACGGAATTGGCCCGCCGATTGGCCGTTGGATCCAATCGGGAAAAGCGGCCGCCTCGCGGTCGCCGGAAGGATTGGAAAGGTCCGTTTTGCAATTTTCCAAATCCCCGGGTGTCCCGCCGTCTCTCTCTCTGCTCCTCTTCCTCTGTTCTCTCTTACCGAACTAATTGAAAACTCCCCTTTCGCGAGGTATTACCCGCCGGAGATCTTTTCCCCCGGCAAATCGTTTCCGCCCTCTCTTCCTTTTTCCTCCCGCTTTTTCCGCCGTTTTCCCTCGCCGAGGTAGGGAGGAAAACACGGTCTTCCAATTACTCCCCGTAATCGGAGAGAAAGGGGGAAAAAAAATGAGGGAGGAAAAAAAAAAAGGAAAAAGAAGGAACCACGGTCAAAATCGAAGAACCCCCTCTCGAAGGAAAACTCCTAAAACGTTATTATGAAAATCATTATTAATAAATTTCTTCTCTTCCCTGTTTTTCTTTCCGTCCCTTGATTTGGAGGAAAAGCAAACCTTCCAATTAATCTGGGAAATCGCGCGAGAGAGAAAAAAAAAAAATGCAGCTAAAATCCAGGAACCTCCCTCGAAGGTCCTCATTCAATTCGATAGAAATTTCTCCACTCTTTCTCCTCCTCCTCTATATTTCCCTCCGTCGCGTCAAAAGTGGGCCTTTTAGAGGGAATCGAGGGCGAGAGTTCTCCCGGTTATAGAATCGAGATCGATTCGATATTCCGTCCGAGTCACGTTAGAAAGTGTTGCGCTAGCCTCGGGCACGTACCTTCCTAGTTACGCACCTGAAAGACGGGCGCAACCTGCCCGATGCCTCTCTCCCTCTCTCTTTCTCCCGCTCCCTGCCCCCTGCCTCCCTCTTTCTCTATCCCGTTCCCGCCCGTTCCCACCCGTCGACACGTGGACGCGCAAACCGAGCGCAATGCGGCCTAGGTGCACCGAGAGACAACGAAAGTACCTAGGCGCCGAGCCGAAAGGATCATTATCGAATGCCGCAACTATCTACCGGAGTTTCCTCGACGAGATATAAAACACTGTTAGCGGGAAAAACTCTTACCACTAATGAGAAAAACGTTCGATTGGTTGGCGGACAATTGCCCCGTTAAAAGTGCACATCGGGCCTTGGTAGAACTTTTAAATACGCGTCACATGAATTTCTTACAATATATACATATATTTTTTTTACAAAGTGCACTGTAATTTAACCCTTTGGCTACTAGAAGCACCTAGAGGCGCCCGACGTTTGGTCCAATATCCCCTGCACGGTCAGAGGAATTTCGCCCTTATGTCGAAGTGGCCCCGTGTTAAGGGTTAAATCCATATCTACTCGAATGATTCGAGTTAATGTCACGTTAAGTTAAAGATACACTTCGAGTCCAATAAATCGTGTAAATCATACTGGTAAAATATTAAAATACGCGATGCATGAATTTCTTACATTTCTTTTTTTTTTTAACGAAGTGCCCTGTAAAAAAATACCAAACTCGACATGCAACTTTAATTATGGAAATTTAATTAGCTATCAGTCGTGTACGAATCGAATAAGTTATACCGGTTTAAAAAACGCGAGGGCACTAAATATTTCTCGAACAAATTCGAGCACGACTCGCGGCCATCGCTACCGTTCGCGCTAACGAACGGCGCGGAAAACTTTCTCGTTTAACGTTAAGGTGATTTATTTGTTTTTGCGATATTTCCGGGATACCCGGGAGAGGAGGTGTGCAGGTATTAATTTAGGGATGCAATTAGAGTGCTCCTAGGAGGTTGGAGAATGGCTCTCAGGCCGAGTTTCGTTGCCGGGGGTTCCGGCATTGGCAAGAGCGTGTCAAAACAAATTCTACGGAGGCCAGTGCTCTAACGGTACCCCGTGAAAACCACACGAACTCGTTCGTCTAGCTACTGGCAGGTTCGTCGTAACGCCGAGGAGTCACGTCTAAGGCACTCTACCGGAGAATCGAAATCGGCGTTAAACGCCAGTCGAAACAATGGCTGCGATCGTGAGAGAGAGAGAGAGAGAGAGAGAGTCCACTTGGAAATCGGGATCGATGTTAAACGCGAGCCTCTTCGACGATTTTTAACGAGAGGACTTGTTGGAAATTTCAGATCGAAATTGAAGGAAAATAACGGCGTTAAACGAAGATATCGTCGTTAAGCGAAAATATCGTCGTTATACGAAAATATCGTCGTTCAACGAAAATATCGAAGTTAAATTCGTCGTTATACAAAAATATCGTCGTTCAATGAAAATATCGTCGTTAAACGAAAATATCGTCGTTATACAAAAATATCGTCGTTCAATGAAAATATCGAAGTTAAATGAAAATATCGTCGTTATACAAAAATATCGTCGTTCAATGAAAATATCGTCGTTAAACGAAAATATCGTCGTTATACAAAAATATCGTCGTTCAACGAAAATATCGAAGTTAAATGAAAATATATCGTCGTTATACAAAAATATCGTCGTTATACAAAAATATCGTCGTTATACAAAAATATCGTCGTTCAATGAAAATATCGTCGTTCAACGAAAATATCGTCGTTAAATGAAAACATCGTCGTTATACAAAAATATCGTCGTTAAACGAAACTCCAAACGACGGCTTCGAACGTCACGTCAGACGGCAGTCCAAACAACAACTTCGATCGAGAGAGTTTACTGGGACATCGGGACAGTCGTTAAACGAAAGTCTTTTCGACGGCTTTCGATAAGACAATGTACAGCGGAATTCGGAACCGCCGTTAAACGACGACTCTTTCGACTTCGAGACTCGGACCGAGAATGACGAACGATCCCGTACCCAGGTTTAGAAACGCGAAATTCACCCGGGAATAAAAAGCCCGATCACTTTCAATGGGATTTAATTCCCAAACCGGCCGCCGTTCGGCGTATCAGCACGAAAATACGGCATAGACCGTGAAACCTAACCTCAAAGCCCGATCCTCCCACGTGAGCGCAAAGACAGAACCCGAGCACACCCTTTCCCCTGTTGGAATAACCATTACCAACCTAAAATTTCCAGATTGAGAAGCTCTAAGGGGGGCGGAGCCAAAGGGCCGGCGCGCAAGTTTGGCGCGCAGGTCTCCCCACCCCCGGCCGTCGAGGGCCAATAGGGACGAGCCGCGCCAGTGTCTCTCATTCAAGGGCTCGACTTACCTCGGTCTCGGCGTGCGGCGAAGCGTACGTCCCGCGGAGCTCCCGGGGGATGGCGGGGGAGGATACCCGGCGGTATCTGGAGGCCCCAGCCGGCCGCTCCCGCCTCCCGAGGAGAGGGGTCTCTCCTCGTTGCGAAACGCCGCCTCTATTTACAAATACTCTCGGCGGTCCGTCGGTAGAAATTCGAATCCCTCCCAGCTCATCGGCCAGGTCGAATGTTCACACTTCACTGCACTCCAGGGAACATCCCTCGGTAATCCCCGTCACTGTTATACCCAGAGCTCCCTTGTTCGCGCTCGCGAGCCGCTCGAGACCGTCACTAGCGCGCATCGGAGGCCGCTGCAAGCGGGAGCGAGAGAGAAAGAGAGCTCGCCAACGCCGCCCAGTCCTCGTTCCCGTTTCGCCCTTTAAATATGTAGCCCTTTAAAGAAGCCAGGTCGCCCGTAGGATCCCCCGGCCTATCCCGTGGGAGCGATCCGGGATCCCGGAAGGACCCCTCCCCCCAGAAGAGGTCCAGGTTCCCTCGGGATGGCCGCGCGTCCCGGTCGCTCTCCCGTATCCTATCCCGGCCTCCCTCGGGATCCGGCGTCCCGCGTCCTCCGGGACTCCACGAGACGGATCACGTTCCCCGCGTCCCGTGGGAACCCGTTGCCAGGACCCAGGCCTGGTTCACTCCCGACATCCTAGCGGGGGTCTCCCGCTTCCGGGACACCTTGACACCCCTTATCGGTCGGGAGGGCGGTTCTGCGTATTCCCGAAATCCCGGAGCCGAGGAGTCTCGAGGAACATCGTACCGCACGGTTCGGGCGTCGAGCGGCGACTGTCGTCTCCTCCGCCACGAGCTCGAGAGCGCCGCTCGCCTCCCCCCACCCCTGCCGAAGGAGGGCCCCCCTCCCCCACCCCCTAACCCCCACCCCCCTACTCGACGTTCCCGGGCGAACGGAACCCTCCCTCTTATTTATTTACTCGCCCACTCGCAGGATCGCCGATTTATTTCGCGATTTCCTAAAGTATTTATCTAGCGTATGCGATTTCAACTACCTCTCGGGTTAATTGAGGGACTCAATTTATTTAAATATGTTTTTGTAACGTTAACGAGGTTTCTTGCGGTTTATTTACTCGACAGCGATCAGCTGATCGATGCGGTCGATCGGAGCCCCGAATTATCTACTGAAATTAAATCCTGGTTAAATCGCTCGGTGGGAATTAATTCGGAAATAGCGGTCCTAACCTTCAATTATAAGAGGACGACACGTGGGCTCACATAGATATGTCTGCCCATTATGGTTTTTGGGCTTTTCATAATTTTGCAAATGCAATACGCTTTTTTTAATAAATTTTTTACGTCCCAGGCAGTAACCTATCCCTCCCTCCTATTAAGGATTAAATTTCCAGAAGGCGATGGATCCCAGGACACCCCGAAACTCCCTTATCACGGCCCTTATCGGTACCAGACCTGGAACTTCGACCATCCCTGGGATTCTGCACTCCTAGGCGAAATCCAGGATCCCTGGGTCCCAGGAGAGAGTCCCTGCCATCCTCTCTTATCGGCTTGTCCGCATGACATGACAAACTAATTGCCTTATCACCGAGCAGCCTCCTCTCTCTCTCTCTCTCCCCCTCTGGGTCGCGGAAAACATCCGAGTTCCCTTTCAACGCCACAGTGCAAACTCCGATTGTGGGTGCGCTTTTCAAGGGAGAGAGAAAACAGGAAAAGAGGAGAAAAGGAAAGGGGAAACAAAAGCTCCTCTGCGGAATCGAACCTGGGCTTCTGGAGAGAGAGATAGAGAGACTAGTCGCTCGTATCGATTCCGGCATCTCTGGTCTCTCTCTTTTTCTCTCGTCCTCTCTCTTTCTCCCCGTTTCTCTCTCGTGGTCCCCGAACGGGGCAGACGGCCATTTATTATTCTATTAAATTCGTAGCTTCCCATCGGGCTCCCCTGTCCTCTCTCGAGTCTTGATGCGATATTCATGCGCGTCCCGAGGGATCCGGGGGATCCGGGAACGCGGGGTCCGAGCTCTCTAAATTACGATTAACTCGCCGTGGACCGAGCAAACACCCTCTCCGATGATTCATTAGCCCCCCTATTGCGGCAAAGTTTTTTTTCGAAGAAATTTATTTTCCACCGGGAAGACGTCAACCCGTCGCCAGAAATCCCATCCCTGGGAAATTGGATCGGCTTGACTTGATTTGCAATTTTTAAACAATTTTTTTTTCGCGGTTTTAGGTCAGAGGTGAACATCTATTCAAATGATTCACTGGCCTTCTATTACACGACTTTCTTTTTTTAAGGATTTGTTTCTGAGCGCGAGGACATTAACTGTGGATTTAGCTTTGACCACGCATTATTTCGATGTTTTCGTTTTTAAATTCATAATTCGGTACTTTCGGCCCGTAAAATCGGATTTTTATGCAGACATCGCCACGTGTGAACTCGCGTTTACCCTGAAAAGACTAAGGAGCAATTTAGGGTGGAATATGCTCCCACCTGTTCCCATTTACTGGTAACGAGGCCTGAGTGCGGTTCCGCACGCGTGTAAGAGCAAAGGCTCGAAAAGGGCGGGCGCGGTCGGACCTCTCTCTCGCGCTCACGGTCCCGCGCCTCGCTCGGTCTCTCTCGCACTCACGGGGAACCCTCTACCCTTGTCGGTTAGATCTACCCCTTGTGAGTAAATTAGGCGATACGGATCCCGGACGGGCTTCGATTCGCCCTAATGGACGAGTTTTCAAACTTTCATGAGAAATACATGCCTGGATGCGATTCCATCCTCTTCGTCCCCGATGTTCTTCGGCGTCCTTCTCTTCGCGAATGTATTTTTTAAGGACGCGGGACACGTGGTGTTCGCATGTCGATCTGAGCAGGAAGATTGCAGAACTGAAAAACGGTTAACAGAAGGAGTATTATTTCTCTCATTCGGCTATAAACTCTCCGATCATGAAATATCTGACCATGGGGACAGAAATAGAAATAACAGAAGGAGTATTTCTCTCATTTTCTCCCTTTTGACCATGAAGTGTCTGGCTACGAAGGCAGCGGAATCGAAAGAGGGAGCGGCGCAAAATGGCAAAATGGAAACTACCCAACGATACAGAAAGAGGAATATCTTTTTTATCCTTCAAGAGAATATATACCAAGATAACCTCCATACATATCACATCCCAAACCATGGCATACACCTTAAGACATTTTTCTCCCTCTTCCCTTCATCTAAACTGATTACACAGCCCAATATGGCGGCGGCCTATCTAACAGCGATCTACGAAAGAGCAACCCCTCTGTCTTCTTTCCTTTTTTATCCCTTCTAAAGTGTGGGGACCGACATAACCTCGGAACATCCCATCTTTCTCGCTCCTTCTCTAGAGTCGCAAATCCGACGTCTCGGCGCGCAGAAGCCGAGGCGTCGCGACGCCCGACGACGGTTCACCCCGGACGTCGCCGTTTTCCCGGCCGTTTATTTTCGGCGCGTCCGTAAACCCGGCGGAGAGACCGCGCGATGAAAACGCGTCCTTCGGGCGTTGGCTGGCGATTATTATTTTTATTTTTATTTATTTTTCTTTTTCCTTTTTTTTTTTTTTCTCTCGCCCCAGCTCTGCGTATCGGCGTCGGCGATGACTCTCCACGTCCCTGGGACCACCCAGGGGTTCCCGAGGGAGCGGCGCAGATGGCACTCGGTTTAATTAACCCTATCCCCTGGATGATAATTCATCAACATCGGAGCGACACCTCCCCGCCATTTTGGGGAAAGTGGTGAGGAAAAAAATGGGAGTGGAGATAAAAGCGAGGAAAATATAAAAAAAAAATGTGCAGAAATTGGAGGATGAAATTTTACGGAAAAAAAAAAAATAAATAAGAGGGGGATCACAATGTAGAGGCTTAATTAATTGTATCCCTTGGATGATAATTCATCAACATCGTCACACCTCTCAGCCATTTTCGGGAAAGTGGAAAATAAAAAAACAGCAAGATTTGTCGCAAAAACCATATAGGGAAAAATTGAAGAAGAATTGAAAAACACAGCAAAATTTACGGAGTGAAGAGTTAGAGAAAAAAAAAAAAAATTTTAAACACCCCATGGAGAGACTGTGACTAATTTTTTTTCTTTTAATACTTTTAAAGATATGGTGAAGCAAGTGGTCAAGAGATCTGAATTTCATTGGGAATGGATGGGAATTCACGACCCCCCCATGAAAGGGAAGGTTCCCAACAGGAGCGGAAAAGTCCTTTTTTTCCCTCTCCCTCTCTCTACTTGCCCCTCTCCGGTCTCTCTCTCCCGGTTTCTGCTCGGTTTGCTCCTGCAGGATTTCCTGTTTCCTGCAGCAGGCAACCTGCTTGCCGACAGGAACGACTCGGCGTAAATCAAGTCGAGCCCTGGACTCGTTTTCTCGGGCGGAAGTGAGAATTCCCCTACGGAGAGGGAATGATAAAAAGTGCGATCGATCCCGATCGGGAGAAAAATCGGATTGCCCAATGCCCCCCCTCGGCCTTCCCTCGGGACTCCTTTAAGCCGTGGAAAAGCGAGTGAAAGCGAGGATTACCGGGGAATTCCTCGTCCAGGGATTTCGTAAACGGCCTTGGCCGTTCCCGGAATTCCTGCCGAGGTGATTCCGATCGAGAGAGGAAGAGAAAGAAAAAAAAAGAGAGGAATGATTTATTAACCCTTTGGCTACTAAGAGCGCCTAAAGGCGCCCGACGTTTGGTCCAATATTCCCTGCACGGTCAGAGGAATTTCGCCCATACGTCAAAATGTCTCCGTGTTCAAAGGGTTAGTAAGCCCAAGATACTCCAGCTCCATATTCCCAAAAAAGGAGGTAGAAATAAATTCGGTAGCATCGAGGATTTTCTCCACTTTTAAATGGTAAATATTCCGGGCAAATAGCTCCTTTAAATGATACTATATTAAATAAATTATTGCATCTTTATAAATGGGTTCGACAGATATACGGTCCCATGGGACCTGTTACTCTTCCCGGAATCCCTGTTTACCTTCTCGGAATCCCTGTTTGCCTTCGTGGGATCCCTGTTTTCATTTCGGAGGGCCTTTTATCCCGCTATCGAGGCCGCAGCTCCCTCGGGACGTCCTCCAGACTCGAGATAACGCAACTTGCAGCGCATAAGGCCGCTGCAGGAAGTCCGCGCGGCCTCGCCGCGGAATGTTTGGCCCTCGGATGAATCGACAGAGGCCCCTCCCTCGGGAGGAACGCCCGGGAGAGCCGGGAAGAGCCGGGAAGGCTTTACGAGGCGTTCGCCTCGGGCATTCGCGCGAAAACGCTGCGGCGAAGCGGAGCCTTTACCCTTTCGGTACTGTACAAGGATCATACCCGTGTCGATAATCCCGAAAGTGGTCCGAGTCATTTCTATTTTCCTCCTAAACATTCGTTATTTATTTAATTTAAACGTAGCAATCTAAATCGACCCAAGCAAGATACCCCTTTCGGTACTGTACAAGGATCATACTCGTGTCGATAATCCCGAAAGTGGTCCGAGTAATTTCTATTTCCTTACTAAACATTAGTTATTTCTTTAATTTAAACGTAGCAATGTAAAACGACCCAACGCAAGGTATGGAATAAATTCATTTTTTTTTTAGATCATTGCTTAGACCACTTTTGTAAGTAAGGGCACGCTGTGTCCATTTGGTCCACTATGGCTTGCACGCCTCAAGGAATTTCGCCCATATGTCAAGAGGAGTCGGCGGCGCTCTTTCGGTCTTATCGATCCGCAAGCTTTTAATGTTTTTTCTACCCCATTTCGGGCTTGGTCCAAGCGGCGAAATATTTTTTACCAGCTTCCTCGAGGTCTCGGGA